ATATACTTGCATAGTACCCCTAGTGTGTGAACCATTTTATTAACTTTACAAAATATTTGATTTTGCTCTCTAGCTGCTTAATATAAATTGGGTTAAGCTTTTGACCATCTTCCAGGACTTAAAAAATTGTGTAATTGCGGGTCAGGTTAGGTTCTGAGGTTGTCATCTGGTATGACATAAACCCTCTTATCTTCTTGAGTTACTTTCCTAATTGGAGATTATGCGAGTGTAAGCCCTAAATAATAAAATTAACAAGAGTGAACATTTAAATGACAACACTTCAAATCATGAAGTTAAACAATCGGATAGTTTGAGAAGTCATCGAGATTCTCCTCATGATCTATGACATCCCATACTCTTCCATCCTTTGGACTCTTAAAACAATTGCTCCTATTTGATCCTTTCCTAATTTCTTTCTATGTCAATCCTTGAAATCTTAAATGTTGAATTCTTGAAGACGCAACCACTGATCCTAATCGAGATTTTTCTTAAGTAACTTGGGTCATTTGAGATGTAATTAACTATTGGGGATTTCCTCTAAACGGAAGTTGGAACCCATATAAAATAAACCCTACTAATCTTTATATTATGTAGGGGAAATTTGTCTGTCACACATAAAGGTTCACAGAACAAATGGATTTTAAAACTTATCTAGTTTATATAATCGAGCCCGCTCTCAAGTAGTATGTCTATCCCTCAGAATGGTGTATCACTTGTGGTGTTGTGCTCAATTACTTAAACTGTTATATATAAGGGATTCGTTCGGTGTCATAGTTTTCAAAACTAAAATATTATTTTTCTAATCAAAATTATATATAGACTAAATTGAATCATATTTTTGAAATTGAGATCGACAATGAGTTAGGACTACCAACTACCTAACTTCTTACTAAATGTTAGGAAGCAGTAATGCCAATCCTTGACTCTCAAGTCAGGATATGCAATAATCCTCACATACCTCGATGCCTTTTTTGTCTTCACTCTTATTACAAAAACCCTCTAACTTGCAACAGCTTGATGAACCATATGTGACATTTTAAATATCCCTAGTTGCCCACAAGGGTCTAAATACCATATACACAACTCATACCCCTAATCATTGAGTTTTACTATAAATTAAGTTGGGACAGGGTTTTTCATTGATGTGATTCAATTTAAAGGGTCTTGAATCATGTCTTAGTGTGTTCTTATATTTAAGGATGATTTTCTTCAGCAAATCATAGTAAACTCAAATATCCTATTAAATATCCAAAATCTAGCAAGGATGTCTAGAGAGTGATTTTGAGCAACCCAATTCAAATAATTACAATTTTAACCTTTTATAAAATTTGTTGTGAATGAGTTGCTACCCAATTACCCTTAGGTTTCAATCATTTAAGAGAATTATTTATCATTATTTAATGTCCCTCCCTTTAGTTTATCCTAAATGTTAAACAAATTAGGGTTGAGGTGTGAAATCCCTAAAATACCCTAACTGTGAATTTCTAATGTTAATTGATTTAACTTTTCAAAATTTGTTCTATTTTAATAAAAAAATTATAATGTTCCCCCAAAGTGAAAGGATCAATTAGAGCAATTTTGGTGACTTTTTGAAATATATTTTAATTTTTATAATTTTTAATTGATTTTTGAAAAGAAAAATAAATAGAAAATATTTTCTTGTTTTAAAATATAAGTTTATTTTTCCTTGACTCCTCTGACTTCAGAGAACACATCAAAAGTGATTTTCTATTTTTTTAATTTATTTTTAATTTTTATAAAAATTTAAGTGGACAAAGAAAAACATAATAAAAATTTAGGGCTTTTGAAGTTAGAGGTGTCCCATAACTTTGGAAAAATCTGAGCACCACTCTAATCACATCATGAATAAGCCCACAAAATTTCAAGTCATGAAGAACAATATTTAAATTTATATGATTCAATTATGCTATGAGGTTTTAAATTAATTTAAAATTAAATATTAAATAAATGTTTTAAATTTTTTGTTCGTAATATTCTCCTCTATTCAGTGAGCACAAGGTTTTTTTTATGATTTTTCTATATCAAGATATGATTTTTGGAAGTTTCTATATTTAATTAAATCAAAAAATGCCCTATTTTCTAACTTAAACACATCAGTGCCACCTCATCCTTGATAGATCCGAACTCCACACGCGTCGCCACCTCCTTTGCTGCACATTCCAAGTCATTACTACGTGTTTCTGCGATATTATGGCTTATATAACACCACAATAACACTAATATAAAAGCAAAATAAAATGAAAATAAAACCATAATACTATCGGGATAACAGCAGACTAGCACCACATTGCCTTCTCAAAACCGCGGGGGGCTCCTATTGGTCGTGCTTTCCATGCGGCCGCTCTGTCAGCCTGCTGTTCATGCTCTAATTTGTTGTCTGACTTGATCTCCGCCATTCACTTTATACACGCGCGAATGGATGACATTTGTGCATCATCCCGAACGAACCCTTGCTCTAGGACCATCCACACTAAAAGGCTAAGATCTCTCTTGAGTGTTAATGAAATTAAGCGCGGTTTATTCCTACACCTACATCTAAGTGAGGAGGTCACATTTATACAGCTAGGTGGACATAACTCTTCATTTTCTTCATAAAAAACCAAAACTGAAGAAAAATGAAGGGTTTTCAAGCTATAATTTTACCCAAGAGGTGATGCATCAATTGGGTTGGTTGAGAAGCTTCGCTTGAGTCCCACAAACCTCCTTCAAGTGTTGGCTTGCTCTGAGAACATCTCCAAGTTTGAAATCAACCAAAAGGTTGTTTGGATGTGGTCGAAGACTAGGTTGGAGGGCTTGTGACAAGGGGCATTTGGTTGAAAATGAGTTTTTAGGCTATGGGAAAGGTTTGGAATAATTTATTTTGAGTTTTGATGGAATTTTCAGGATGGCCAAAAAATGGCCTAATTTTTTAGCTTCAAAATTAAGGGTTTTTTTGGTGGGATATAGTGGATAAGGATGCTTGGAATGGGCTTAGGGAAGATGTGAGAAGGTTTGGATGTAATTTGACAAAGTTTTCCCAAGGTTTGGTGTACTTTCCCCTTTCTTGGCCATGAAGGTGGCCATTTTTAATAGCGAAGGTGGTGGTTGGAAAAGGTGCAAAGGTTAATTTCGTGTTGAGGAGATGTAGGGATGTAGGATTGTTAAATCCATTGTGTTGTGTCAAGTATCCAAGGGTTTTGACTTTTAATGGAAAGGGTTTTAGACCATCTTGTGTTTTACCAAGGCTAGATCAATAAAAATGGGTTTGGGTGTTTCCAAGTCACTGACCACCATGGGGAAGCTTATGGTTTAGTCTTTTCATAGTTTCACTTTTAGATTAAAGTAAGTCATGAGTGGGGTTAAGTACCTTTGGAAGAGGTCCCATCTTTTTCCATTTTGAGAAAGTTAACTTGTACGAGGTTTGCATGTTCTAAGCATTTTTATGAGGAGAATTTTAGGATTTTACATCAATCAGGTGGTATTACATGTTATTATTGTGGTTTTATTGGAGTAGTATCAGGATTAAGCTGTGGCAATGGTGTTATTAATGGTGTTATTTGACATGTTATTGACGTATTATGGGCTTAGGAACAACGGGTGGTGTTATTGCCATGAAAACACGACAATTCCTCGGTAGTTTTGGTGAGAAAATGGAAAAGCGGGCGTTACTATGGGTATATTACACGGTGAACTGGTGTTATTGGGAGGAGTTGTGCGACACAACAGGTGTAGTGTTATTAGTAGTGTTATTTCGGTAGTATTCTGATGTTACCGCAATTTCGAGGTGAGGGGTGTTATCGATGGTATTATTTTGGTGGTATTCCAGTGTTACTATAGTTTTAAAGTGAGGGGAGTTATCAATAGGATTATTTTAGTCGTACATTGGTATTATTGATGAGGAATTAAAAAAAAAATGAGTGGATTGCGCAACAACATTCTAGTAGTATAGGTATTACAATGACGATGTGGAGGCGATATTATTACAAGTGTTATTTGGGTAATTTATGGTGTTAATGGGAGGTTTATCTGCAGTTTTGTGGTGTTATTGTGACATTGAAGTGGTGTTATTGTGGTTGAGTCTACCCCAAATCGAATCCAAATCTATCCTAGACCCTTTTCCACTTCAATTCAACTTACAGGCTCATAGCACAACACAATTGATGGTTTGGTGAGTTTTTTTTAGTGGTTGTCATGTGGGAAATTGAAGTATGATTTGGCAATATTGGGTTTGTGTGGAATTTAATGTAAATTGATGTGGCTTTGAATTTGGCAGGGTTGAATTTGATTTTGGGTTGAAAAATCAGGTAATTTTGAATGGTTTAGAGTGAATTTTGGAAAGGGGTATTCAGGTGAGTGTGTGCATGACCAAGCCACCTAGGGATGACATAAAACCAGTTGATCATATGAGAACTCATTTTTTGAGACTTCACATGTTTGTCCTACCCGTCTCAAATAGGAATTGAGGGCTTGAGACCATCTATGTGAACTTCACAAAAAGAATCAAGCAGTAACTGGAGTTTCTATGGGGGTGAATTCTATTACTAGACTTCTATGATAGTTATAAGGAAAGATCTATGACTAGATCCTAAGTCTTAATTCTCACAAAAAATGAGGTCAACAAATGGACCCCAATATGTATGGTGTGCTTAACAAACACATCACATGCATTGATATTGACAAAATCAACCAACAAAATCTAAGAGCTGTTTTAGTAGACCTACTTATAACGGGTCAAATATCAAACTGAATTTGATATTGAATTTGAATTAGTATGTACACTCTGCAATGAAACCCCTGGCCGAAGGAGCACATGAAAAATCCTATCCCAAAAAAAGAGGACAGGTACATTTTAAGCAGCGTTCCATTTTCTTTATCAATAAACAGCATGAACTTCGGCGCTCGCTACTCTACTCATTCCAGTGAATTCCCCTTTCAAATTAGGGCATTTAACCCTGTTAGCTTCTCTACCATGTGAACTTTGCTTCAGTAATATGCAACTAATGAGCGTCTACGCACCCTCCTGCTCTTCTCGCTGGCCGCAGCAGAATCTTCGTTGTCCCTCCGCCTTCCGGGCCACATCTCCAACCCTAGTCCTGTCGGACTTTTATGTGAAGAGAAGCCGGTGCTTCTCTAGAATCTTCGCTGCTAAGGAAGCAGATAAGCCTGTGAAGAAGAAGTCAGGGAAGCGGAAAGGGCCAGAAAAGCCGTATCTTGTTGGCGATGAAGCCGCCTTCCACTTGAAGTCTCCGGCTGCTGGTCGACAAAGCAGACATCCCTCTCCCGTCCCTAAGCCGCCTGCAGGATTTGTGCTCGATGATTGTGGCAGGGTCCTTTTTACCTGCAACAAACGAATAGCCACCATAGTAAGTAGCTTTTTCTATTTTCTCTTCTCGCTGGAATCTATTTCAATTTCGGGATGGTAGACGTGTTTAACCTTTTAAGGGCTGTATGGTAGCAGAACTTGAGCAGAATTTAACCTAAATCCTGCCAATCTGCAAAAATGGCAACTTTAAAGGGTGGAGAAGTGTCAATGGGAGCAGTTATGAAGAATTCATGAGACTTACGGATTTAACTTAAATGTAGCCAGAACTTGGATTTACTAAATCTGGAATGTAAGGCAAAATTGTGAGAAACTGGCTTTAACTTTCTATTTTGGCTCTTTGGCAGGATTTAAGTTAAATCCGTCTTAAATCCTGCCTCAAAACTGTTATCAAGCAGCCCCTTAATCTCCTAATATACCAAAGAATAGAGAATGAGCTAGTGGTTTGCAACTTGAAACCCATACCCTAGTGTTTTATGGCCTTGGACGACATGTCAAAGAAGGAGACTGGGTTAAGACCTCCTTGGCCAATTAGTGGAGCGAAGAGGGCAGAGCTTAAAGAAAATAAGTTGGATGCTTCATCTTAATTTTTAATATTATAGAAGCTTGCTATTTATAAAAATTGATGAAATTCATATCTATGGTTAGTCTAAATAAATGCTGCTTAAAGAAAAGGGCAGAGCTTAAAGAAAACTTTATTTTAAATATCTTAATAAACATTTAAGATATGTTGACCGCCACTCACAAATTGGAAATTTCCATCAAGTAATGAGTATAATTTTGTGGAGTGTTTTTAGGTTTGTTTCTTGTTGCTCTCCTCTTGAGTCTATCTCTTTTTCTTCTTGGCTGCATCTGTTTCTTTGAATTTTAAATTGTAATTTTGTAATTTTAGTGCCTCCTCAAATTGTATTTGCAAATTTATCCTTCAAGTTTATCTAGTTTAAGGTTGCAAATTTTCTTGAAAGCCTCCTGGATCATAGCTTCACGAAAAGTATGCAAATTGTATTTGCAAATTTATCCTTCAAGTTTATCTAGTTTAAGGTTGCAATTTTTTTTGAAATCCTCCTGGATAGCTTCACGAAAAGTATTTGATCACAAAAATTTGATTACTTAAAAAGAGGATCAACACTTTTCTAATGATGGTAAACTTAGTTACATGAAAAACATGATTGTTATTTATCCAGGCTAAATTGTTTCCATTTTATGTGATCATCTCTTTTGATGATCCTTTTAATGATGAAAACTATTTGTATATTTTTCTTAGGCAGAGCTTGTCTGCATAATATTTTTGGGTATAACTTACTTGCATGACACTGCATTGCCTGTTGAATTTGGCATACTTCGATTAATCATAGATTGATTAATTTTGAATGAAGTAGAAGCTATGTGCTATAAAAAATATCCTTTTCTTATAATTTGAAGCATATTCATAAAACCAGCTGTTTTTTTTTTGAACCCATCAGAATAATATCATGATTAACCACCTTTGATATTCACACCATGGTTCACTCTGAACCAGGCGCTATCTACTATCACAAAGAGTTTACCTTTTTTCGTCTCCTTTGAAACATCATTATAAAAGCTTGCTGCCTCCTTTGAATCCATGAAACCTCTCCTAACATCATGTTTTACTTTCTTTGATATTCACCTGGCATTCTCTGTTTTCCTTTTGAGTTTTATTCATGCTGCCTTAGGCTGTCACATGATCTTTGAACTCCTTTGTGGACATTCCAATCAGTAGATCAACAAATACTTTTTATTGCCTTTTTGATTATGTTTTTTTAAGGTTGGCTCTCATCCTCTTCATGTTGTGTTTGCGGTACCAATTTTATGATAAAATTTTGAAAAGCAGCTATTCTGATTGGCATCAGACTTGCAATTTGGTTGGATATGCTTTTTAAAGTTGGAGAAAGATTATTAAAGTTCCTTCAACGATCATTCCTTCAACGATCTTTTGCGGTACCAATTTTATGATAAAATTTTGAAAAGTAGCTATTCTGATAGCCATCAGACTTGCAATTTGGTTGGATGTGCTTTTTAAAGTTGGAGAAAGGTTATTAAAGTTCCTTCAACGATCACTTATACATCTTTTCTTGATTAATGAGTTATTGTCTCCATAGAATTTTCTTGGATTCCCCTTAATTCACACTAGTCATGATGGAATTCTTTTTGGTTTGAACTATGTTCTAACACAAATTGATCTGGAATTAGGGTGCAGAAGACTTATAGAACTAGTAGGAAATATCTAAGTAAAGAAATAAGGACTGCATGGGAATTAGGTTAATCTCTCAATCTACCTTCGAGTACAGAGAGGATGAGTTGACAACTTTACTCCTTTGAATCCATCTTAAAGCTTTTTGGCCTTGGACTATGTGCCAAAGTGAGTGAGATGGAGAGAGACTAGGTTAAGGCCTCCTTGTCGCATGCTAGAGAGAGAGAGAGGATAATAATATTGGAGTTAACCCAAACAAAGATAGGAAAACCAAATATTATTGCTGAATTCAAAATATGGAAATACAATCTCTTAAATAAAAATAAAAATAATAATAAACACGATACAAACACAACTAGGATTTATCCTAAAGAGGTGGTGATGGGCTATGCAGGATGGAGGGGTGTTGGATTGTTGTGGTTGGATGGCTGGATGGTGGAGTTGGCTACGGGAGATGGCAACAGGATAGGAGGAAGGCCGTGGCAGGGAAGCTGAAGGCTTGGCTACTGTGGGATGGTAGTAGGCTGGGAGGAGGACTACCGCAAGGAGGTTGACAACTAGGAAGGGGAAGGTGGCTGATTGTAGGGAAGTGATAGGACCACAAGAAGACAACTATAGTGGACTGTCGGGTGGCTACAATAAGGAGGGAGGATGATAACAACGAAGGAAAGGATGTAGAGAAGAATATATGAGGACAACCACTAACGCGGGGGCTGGATACTATCGAAGTACCACTCGACCCTTGGATAAAATCCTAAAAAAGAAAACCCGAGACACTGATGATGTTTCCAATGAAAATGCTAACAGACCCTAACACAACACGTATATAGGAAATGACTATAAACGAATGAATGATGAAAGAAAATGTGTTGAAAATTGAAAATAAAATAAAAGAAACGTCGTTTGGTATGATTCTGCTCCGATTGCAGGATTCGGTGGCCGAACCTGTGCAGACACTAGATTGCGAGTTCTCATTCGTTCTTGCATCGCTCAATCTTCTGCATCAGTCTTCCAGGGATATATCGAAGCTTCTATCTTCTCATAGTTTGGCATTAGGTTAGCCACGTTGAAGGTGGTGGAGCTACTGTAACTGTCTGATAATTTAATCCTGCAGATGTTGTCATTCCAAAATGCCTGCGTTGGAGTTGCATTAGGTGTACATTCTCACGAAGTAACTCTTGAGCTATTAAATCCATAATTTGCCTCTTCCACTCCTAGTACATGGCTTGTCACATCCAATAAACAAATTCATTTTGACGAACTAACTCTGGAATGAAATATATAACATGCTGGACAACTTTCAATAGTAACCACTTATGAGGGGTTCATTCTTCTTCTCTGGAAGAACCGAGATATCATTGTATGATGTTTTTTTTCATAAAGCTCCTAAGGCAATTTCCAAAGCTGTTTTCATCCCCTCTGTCTGACTAGTTGTTGGTGGTTTCACTAATGAACTCAATTTAATACCCAAATACTCTATACGGTTTTTCATAAGTAGCTCAAAAACTTCTCATCTCTGTCATGTTGGATCTCTCTTAATAGGGGCAACTTATGAGGTAGACTATATATCTGAAAATTCTGCAATTTTTTTATCTGGGGTTATGTGTTTGGTGTCTGTTTCTTGAACTCATGACCCTGTAGGACAAGCAATGTTACTCTTGTTGGACTCTCTCATTGGGTCAGCTTAAATGACGTGTCTTTTCCTCATCAGCTGGAATTTGGTACTCCTTTGGGTTTTCACCTTCTTAAGTATCTATTTTATTCTCATCCATTCTTCAACTACTTCGGTGAAATAGATATTTCTCTTGTTTGGGCAATTTGATGCCCTGTGCCCAAAATTGTTGGTTATGACAGAATAGAGAATACTGGTTCGGTCCACTTGTTCTCCACTTTAAATTTATTTCTTTTCAGGCGGCATCAGCTTGGATGCTTGACTGGGTGTACTTTTACTGCTTGATTTTGCAATTAAACTTTTGCCTATAAGATGTGTTGCCTTAAGAATATGCCCTGTTTGTAATAAATCGGTAGGTACTTGTGCTGCATCTCTTGTTTCATCCTAGAATATGTAGTGATTTTATTTTTCTTTCTTTGCTAACATAAGTACTTTAAATTCTCCCACTGTAACGACACACTCTTTTTAAATTGGTGGTAGTTAGTTTTACCATTATGTAGGGTGGGGCATATATGTACTGTTGACCTCACTTTTGGTTGAGGTTTAGTTTTTTTTGGTAGCCTAAGGTTTAGCCATAGGACTTTCCTATTGACTATTCCTAGAAAACTAGAAAAGGAACCCTTACCATTAGAAATTCTACCCTATTCCTGACTCAACTTGAAAGAAGTTCCACATATTTGTCCTAACCTTTAGCACTTAGTTGGTGGGGTCATTATGGAGGAGCTCAAGATGAGTTTCCATAGGACTGCTTGCTCTTAGGGTTGACTCTGGGTGTTTGTCTGGAGTTAAGGCACTCACTCGCACTCACTCTCACTCACAATCACTGACAACCCTAAACCCAAATTTTTACCCAAAATTTCTTGACTTTGATCTCTTAATCCTTTGAGAGACTCATGTAGATGGTCCCCTAAATCCGCTAGCCCTAGGCTAGGGTTTAGTTAAGACTAGTATATAAAGGATCCAAATGGGGTTTCTATTGGTCCATAGCTCATTTATGGTGGTTAGCTTCTCAATACTACCCAAAATATTCAAATTGGCCTATTGTCCTAAAATCCCCTAAATTATCTAGATACCTGTGGAGCCCTAAATTTGGTCAAAATTTTCAAAATTCTCAAATTCACCCAAAATATCCAAACTTGTTCAAAAATCTGTTCAAACT